TTAGTATCATTGGTACCACCTGTGTTTACCCTATTTCATGTCTCAATGGCTGCTGTGAAAATCTGCTGGTTCCTTTTCCCAAATCTAAAATCTCGTAGCTGTGAGCGGAACAACTGTCCACAGAAGAACACGAGGGGGTTTTTCCTTTAAAGCATCGACCTCCCGAGAACCAGCTGCTTACGACGAAGGAACAGAACATTAATGTTTTAACGCTTCGTGGTTTCGTTTAAGTTTTTTTTTAATCTTAAAAACTGAAAGGAAAAAAAACAGTTTTCAGATTTACACGGTGTAATTTTTTACAGTGTTTTTAAGGAATATAAATTAAGAAATGACGTTAAAGAAACTGAACTTTAGATTTTGTTTCTAACGACCACGTCGTGTTAAAAGGGCAGATTTTCTGTTCCCGCCCCTCCAACGAGCTGATTGGACGTCGGAGGATCAGTTAACCCCCCCTCCTCTGCCCCTGGTGGGCCAATCAGAGCCCTGCGTTTGACGAGTTCACTGTAGTTCCACACGGACGCTGTCTGTTGGTGTAAAATAAATCTAGTTTTTATAATCGTTTTTATAAACGCCACCGAGGAGGATCCCGCTTCTTCACTCCCGTCCGGCCGCGCCCTCCCGACGCTCACAGGCCCCGCCCTCCCGACGCTCACAGGCCCCGCCCTTTTACTTCCCGTTTCCTGTCAAGTGACGGCTCCATCGGAGTCTGAGGAAGTTCAGTTTCTGGATCTTTCACGTTAATGTAGAAAGTAGAGGAGGGAGGGGAGAGAGGAGAGGAGAGGGAGGAGCTGCTGTGGAGGAGGAGGAGGAGCTAACGAGCTCTGTTAACGGTGTTGTTGTTGGCGTCTGTCCTGCTGAGGATCGTCTGTTCTCCCCTAAACGATAATTCAGTCATTCATCTTTTCTCTGTAGAGCTCATTAACTGCCAGGTTTCCCTCCTCCTCCTCCTCCTCCTCCTCCTCATATCACTGTGTGAGTTTTCTCTTCACCTCGAGTTCTTCGCCACAGCCTCGACACGCAGGAGTAATCTTTATTTATATCATCAGACGGTTGGTTTTTTTTTGGTTCGAGCTCCGGGAGAAACCGTCCACTCAGAGAGAGACAGGAAGTTAAGCTGCCACCCTGATTGGCCGAGCTGCTCCGACGCACACGGGGGGAAGTTTTATCTCATCGTTTGTTTTTTCTGTTTTAATTTAATTCTTCTTTTTTTTTTTAACTGAAGGGATTTGTATCACGACTCCTGATTGATCACAAACAAAATCTTTATTTTCTTTTCACCCACGCTACAACTTACTGTGTAACTAAAGACTTTTTGTTTGTGTAATGCATGATTAATACAATAAAAGTATTTTTTCTAGTCTTCCGAAAAAATGGAGAAAAAAAAAGATCAGTTTGCGAGTTTTGATGAGTTTTGTAATTTTTTTTTTTTTGATTTACAAACTATGAAACAGCAGATTTTAAAGATTGTACCACATAGCAGAATACAACTGTATATAAAATGTCTATAATAACTATTAAATGGTGTACCTGTACAGAGGCTGCTGCTCCGCCCATCTTTCTGTACCAACGCTAGAAAGGAAATGGACCGCCAGAATAAAAGCTGAGGCTGAACTGACACAGTGATTTTATAAAAGATGGACGTCTCCACTTCCTCCCACTGTACAAAACTGAAGCCAAAATATCCAGATACAGTAACTTATTATTATATCTTCAAATAATTAAAACTAAATGTATCAGAAACAATGAACATAGAGGCAGCTGGCTTTATACTGCTGCCAGCCACCAGGGGGCGATAGATGGTGTCACTAATCTATCTTTATTTAGATTTCAGGTTAATGAGCTTAATTGGCCTGAAAACACAGACAGATATTAACAGCTATAAAAGTAATAATAATACACATTTGTACAAACCCTGGTAAACACAACATTAACAGGGAAACAGCAACAGTCAGTTTCAACATGTAAAAACAGGAATCAGTATTTAATGTGGCCGGTACCGCAGGTTGTGGCTGATTCTCTGGACCAGAGGCTCACAAGATAAACCGGGTCCTGAGATGATTGACAGAAGAAGAAGGAATCAAATTCGCTCCAACTACATTTATTTAATGGTTACTTTCAGATTAAGATCAGTTTTTGACTCATGATGGATTTAAACTCATTTTATTCATGTAACATTTTATTATTATTCCAGTAATCATTAAACACTGTATAATGAGTGCTTTCACTTTATTGATTTTAATCAGTATTTATTAAAGAAAATGCATCAAACTGTTGTTACACAGTGGAAATAATAGTATTTTAGTTTTAACAATGCAAACAACCTATAACAGTTCACACACGTCCTGGAAACACCTGGAAATGTATTTAAATGACCAAATATCCTGGAATGGAACAGAGCCTAATTACTAACACCTACGATTTCATGTCAAAATGGCTGCTGTGAAAAAGGTCTATTTGGAAAGCGTGGCAAGAAAGCGAGCGAACACAGAGTGTCTGAGAGACGATGACCAGCAACGCCTGAAACGCCAATAAAAACTGCCCGAATTCAAAGTGAGTTATTAAAAGTCACGTTTTGTTTTGCAGGGAAACAAGTCGGATGGAAACAATTGTTTCAGTCGTTTAAAGACCATGATGGTTGGTCTTTAAGGACCAGGACTGTGGAGACCACTCATCATGTTGAAGATGTGACGTCTGTGCTGCTGCTGGGAGAATAAAGTCAACCTTGAATTGATAATATTTTATTTTATATATAAGAAAACATTTTATTTGGTCAAACGGTCCTACAGGGAGTGTTTGAGGACGTGTACGGCCTCGATGACGGTGTGTCGTCTGTCGGCGCCCGGCAGGACCGCGGTGGTCGGGGCCTGGTGCACAGCGAGCAGAGCGTGGTGTCCGTCGAAGGCGTGCTCGCTGACCGTCATGGCGTCCAGGTGCTGACGCAGCAGGAGCTTCAGCTGCCGGTTCTCACGGCTCAGATCGTCCCTTTGTCTCCGCAGAGCTTCTCGCTGCAGCAGCGCGCGGTTCATGTTCAGCGTCACCCGCCGCAGCTCCGAGAACGCCAACGCCTCCTGCAGACAGAGACGCAGAGGTCAGTTTAAGAGTTCAGGTTTCTAGTTTCTAGTAACTACCCGGTGTGCCGCTTACCTCTGTCTCAGCTGCGTCCTGTCTGCAGTCCTCTGTAGGGATGAATCCTGACAACACGTTCATCTGCTCGCTCTCCAGCTTACGACACATTTCAGCGGCTCGTAAAACCCTCTCGCCCTGCGGTGAAGAGATGAATGAGACCGGCAGAGAGAAGGGGACACAGCGGGACAAACCGGT